TTTTTTTTTTTAACTAAGCTATATCCTTCTCTCAATTTACATCCCACTACCTACCTAACTAGGAATGAATGATACACACCTTTGATCTATACCCTCCAGCGGCAAGCTATACTATGGGTTATGGGTTGAGCCTATCCCCTCAGGGTTGTAAGGGACATTGGACCCATTATCCCACAGGTGTTGCTCCCCACCAATAGATTGGAGACTGCCGCAGGGAGGTCACAGGGGTGTCTGCTCGTATCGGGCACCTCTGTCAGCCCCGGAGGCTATTTCACAAAAAAAAAAAAAAACGGCTATGGTCCTCAGCATTGGTGCACACCTCTCGTCTTCTCTGTGGAGGCATGAAAAAACCGCCTAGCCGCCCTGAGTGTGCCAGCTGACCCTCTGCCTGCTCCAGTTTCTCAGCTGCAAAAATGGCGCCAAGATTAGAACCATTTGGTTATCCGAATAGCCTCCAGGACCCACAAGATGATCAGAACCATTTGGGGATCGGAATCATTTCTTGCCGTACCATTTGGGAATCAGAACCTTTGGGAGGGGAAAAAAGAAGAAGAAATCGAAGAGGAAGGAGCAGAAGCAGCAGCAGAAGAAGAAGAAGATGAAGAAGACGACGACGACGACGAAGAAGAAGAAGAAGAACAACAACAACAACAATCATTTGGGAGGGGAAAGAAGAAGAAGAAGAACAAGAAGAACCATTTGGGAGGGGAAAGAAGAAGAAGAAGAAGAAGCATTTGGGAGTGGGAAGACGAAGCAAGAAGAAGAAGGAGAAGAAGAAGAAGAAGAAGAAGAAGAAGAAGAAGAAGAAGAAGAAGAAGAAGGAGGAGGAGGAGGAGGAGGAAGAAGGAGAAGACGAATAGTAAAATACTATAAAATAGTCATAACTTATAAGAAGAAAAAAAAACAAAAAAACAAAATAATGATTCAAATTATGAAAACGCAACATTGGTCCGGGTTGAGTTTGGAAGGAAGATAACATCATTAGCGAAGTCAGGGCATACTCGCACACTAGGGACTTTTTCAATGGAGGCTATGGTGTGTGAGTATGCCTTCGCTAGTGTGTGAGTATGCCCTGACTTCGCTAATGTCTGTGTGAGTATGCCCTTAAAATGAAAAACTGAAAATCCCAAAAAAATTGATTGTCGTACACAGACAGAAACAAATAAATTATGTGAAAACACTGAAAAGTTTAAACACAAAGTCTTAAACAACAAAAGCACTACATCTGCGCCCCCCCCCCCCCCCTCAACAAAAAACAGAGCTTATATCAACCGCCAGGCAGGCAGAATTAGAGAGTCGCAGTCACAATTCCGCCCCCCCACCCCAGCCCCCCGCGAAAAAAAAGGGGGAAAATAATCCACACAAAGCGACGCGGGCCTTCTGTTGGCTGGTGCCACCAGCCATTTTGCTCCAGTAGCCCCCAACCGCCGAAATTTACGGCGCGTTGACCAGCGCGTCGAAGAAAAATGACCAGCCGAGGTACTGGTGGTTTAACAGCAGTGAGGACAAACAACGTTTTTCTCTTTCTTTTTTTTTTCCCATTTTTTAACTACATTTAATGATAATTTTATTATTTAATCAAATATTATAATTACTATTTTTTCATCTCGGGAAACTGACGCAACCCGCACCAGTTTACACTTTTCACTTCATTTTAAAGTTTTAAATCGCTAGAAGTCTAGTACCTTTGTCGTTTCGGAAACTAGCAGGCCGCCTCCGAAGTTTCGGGAGGCCAAAACGAAACGACGGCCGCCTAGTCGATTTATCGATGGCACAGCCGTCATCGGGCCTGGCCTCCAAATTCTTCGGGGACGGGCGGTTTCCCTCATTTCTGAAGCGGCAAAGGTACTAGTGGTTTAATTAAATGATAAATAATAATATTATAATATTCTATTTTTTATTTTACAAGTTGGGAAGCAGTATTGACAACCACCAGTTTCACATGCTAAGTTACTCTGTACCACAATTGTTTGCATCCTTACTTCATTACACTTCATTTATTCTTTTAGTCTACCAGAGTGGCTCGGGGCCACTTCCCCGGCCCGGCCAAAAAAAAATGAAAAACAGAAGAAAAAAATATATATAATATTTTATTATTTTAGCTTTAAATTTATTTTTTATTTCAAAATTCGGAAAGAATTTTGACGTCAAAAGTTGTTCAGTTTAGTTTTTGCCCATCACATACGTTTTTTAATTTTTTTACAGATTCTTTCTAGGCTACCAGCCGGGCTGCCCGGGTCACCCTATTCTCCCGGACGGCCCGGCCGTGCAAGGACCAAGGAAGGTCCTAGCACCAAAAAAAAAAAAAATCAAAAAAATCGAAAAAATCCGAAAAAAAACTATGTTATGCAGAAAAATAAACTGAACAACTTTTGCCTCAGGGTCACATCGAAATTCTTTACCATATTTACAATAAAAATAAAGTTCTTTTTTTTCGTTTTGTTTTTTTTTTTTGGCCCGGCCGGACAAGTGGCCCCGGGCCACTCTGGTAGCCTAGAATCCTTTGGGTTTTTTTTTCATTCTTCGATGTGCCCTTCCCTTGTCCTGACACGCCCGGGCCGCCCGGTCAAAGGAGGTTGACCTGGGTGACCCATGGCTGGTAGCCCAGATTCTAGCTTTATTTTTCATCCCGGAAACATAGCAACCGTCAGCGCACCCAGCAAACTGAAAACACACACACACACACACACACACACACACACACACACACACACACACACACACACAAAAAAAA